CTGGTAGGGCAGAGTAAGAACTAGACGTAGGATGTCACTACCTAGATGACTGTTGCAGTACTTATCCAAGCAGGGACTTGGAATCACCAGCACCAGTGAATTTGGAGCTGGTAAGGGAATGGACACTGTATTTTGTGGGGGCTGTTTTCTGCCTCTCGCGTGCTTTGATATGAAGGGTGCTTGGCAGTGAGTCAGCCTGTCAGTGGTGTGTCTCGGTGTGTCTGGGGAGTGAGGCTCGAACCTGCTGTTGATGGAGTCTGTCATGAGTGAGAGAGATCAGCACCAAGGAAACTGCTGGCAACTCTGACTGTTTTCCAGCCGGGCAGTGCCTTGGGCTGGCTGTGACCTGGGATTATCCCACTTTCTAGAACTAAAGGGGGATTATCTGTCTTCTGTGATGTAAGGTCTAGAAATTGTGACTAATAAGTTTGAATGACATGAAGTGCTTGGGGGGGGGGAGGATGATGAAGAGGAGGGATTCCCCCCCGGGTAAAATGCTGGCCCTGAGGAAAAATCTCCCCCCTGGGAAAAAATGGGTCTTAAATCCCTGGATAGAGATCCCCATTAGTCTAGCCGAATAGGGCCTCATTTAAGGATTGGATCACAGCTCTGACAGCTGGTTCTTGTTCTGGTTTATCATGCTAGTGTGTTGGTGTTTACTCAGTCTAAAGTAGTGGTTATCACCTGAGAATGGTTATCACAAAATCTAGTAGTAACTCCTGTGTTTGTCTTTGGACTGTGATATATCTTTGCTTTTGTTAAGGTAAATTGAGGCACTGTGCCCAGGGGACTGGCAAGCTGTAGAGAAAGACTTTCATTTCTGCAGCACCTGGGATTCCCATCCAAGACTGAGCCCCCTAAAGAAGCACTCCACTGTCTGCTGTAAAACAGCACAAGCCAGTTTGGGAGCTAGTGACAGAATTTGACATAAAGAAAGTGGCATTTTGGTGAATTGGAGTTAGCCAGAGGGCTGGAGAGAAGAATGTCTGATCTCTCTTGAGTTTTCAATAGCTCCCAGTGTGCTTTTGATCAACATAAATTCTACATTATGGCAGGACCCCTACTTGAAGTGCATTTGGAGTCCAAGTGAGCTCTTTCTTTCCTGTCCCCTTTTTGAGGGACAGCTCTTTTCCCCCATAACTGCCTCATCGCTGTCCACATCGGTCCCATGCAGAACAGTGCCATGCTCAGCACATAAAACCTAGAGATCCCGTTTTCTCCTTAGATAGAAGAGGTGCTAGTGAGACAGACAAACCTTGGGAATCTGAGTGAGCTCATTCCTTATGGGTGGTCTTTACCAGGCACTCTTTTAGTTTAGTAGCTGGCCTTTGCTGTGACTCCTTAAATAACTAATGAGATCTCTGTCATCACCATTTTCAACCAGTCAGCCAGCTCCTCGTGTTCCAGTTACAATGCTTGGTGTGTTTGGTACCATGCTCACCTTAACAGCACCAACAACCACATTCCTGAAATTCTTGTTGTTTGGAATTGTGGCAGGGTGTGCGCAAGCACAAGTCGGGTTTTATGGAGCGATTTGATCGCCTGAAGGGTTAGGAAAGCAGAAGGCCTTTGAGGAAGGCAGAGAAAGCGTTTGAGGGTGTAATTTCCTGAGCACTGCAGGGCAAAAGGAAGCATTCTGCTTTTGGTGACCCAATGCCTTCATACAGAGCTTGTTGAGGGCACCTAGGTGCCCACGCCACACTGCCATAAAGCATTTTTCATAGCAACATGCCTTGTGTGGTCTATTCTTGCAGAACAGGATACTTGGTGCTTACCAGCTGAGATATCTGCTGTCTCCTTCTGGCTGTGTAATCTTTGCCCCTGCTGAGTGCACACCCAGCAAAACCAACCAGCCTGATGCCAGTGTGTCTCCTTGTCCCCTGCTGCTGCCATCTCACTTGATGGTCAGCTCGCGGCGGGACGGGGAGAGGAGCACGGTGCCTGCACAGGTAGCAGACAGGGGAGCTCTGCCTGGGCTCAGGGCTTCTCAGTTAGGAAGTATGTGGCTTTACAACTCAGTGCTTATTTCCTTAACATACTATCTGCAGAAGTAGGGCAAAGGTAGAAATGGGAGCAGTGCTTACAGAGAAGTGGCTACTGTGGGGCTGTTGCATCTGAGTTGTCAATTCTGATCATGGGACATGCCATATGTCAAATAAAGTTATTATCAATGCTCTTTTATTTGGATCAGCCCGTTGGCTGTAGCTGGAGAGGCTGCAGGTTAGGTCAGGGAGGAAGTGAACTTGCTGCTGTGATTCATGCGACAGGCTGGAAGTCCCACCTGAGGCCAACACTCCTTGTGCAGTACCTAGAAAGAGGCAGCTCCTGCCCCAGAACACCTGGTCATCTCTGGCCAATTCCCAAAGTGTTTGGGTCTTGTCTTTGTAGCAGAAGCTTAAGCTTTGGTATGCTCGAATCCTTCCCTCTTTTCTCTGCAACTTGCAATTGGGGTCCTGTTGAGGTGATGCAGACTGGTAGTTGTAGGGTAGAAAAGGGAGGATATGAGTGTTGCCAAGAGCAGGACACCACTTTCCCTCGTGATTTAGGGGATGAAATGCACACCTATGGATGCACATGGATTGTGTTGGCAGCTGAGGTCTAGGGAGGTTATACAGAAGGGATCTGGGATTCCCAGGCTACAAGGTGCTGGGGCATGGTGTCAACGTGTGGTAAAGACAGTGTTGTGCCAAAGAGGTGATGGGCAGTCAGTCATGTGGGTGAGCACAAAGGGCAGGAGCTCAGTCAGGGAGGGTGGTGCATGGAAGTGGGGGGTGTCAGCAGTGCTTGAGGATGCTTCTGTTGGGTGCAGTAATTGTAATAAAGTGATGGTTTGTCATGATGTGCCCGTGAATTAACTTGGGTTGGAAGGGGATGGAGTGGGGTTGTGTGGATGCTGATGCTCTAGAGAACAAAACTGTGTCCAGATTTAGCTGGTGTTTGGAGGGAGGGCTACCTTTCAAAGCTTCAGATTTGGTTTGGGAGGGCTGTGGGTAAGATAATAACAAAGCAACCATGTTAAAGGGGATCTTAGCAGGCAGGGAGGACAGCGTCTGTGTAAGTCCTAGACATGTTTTCCTTAGGGATATGCTGACACCTGAACTACTGGAGTAGTTTGGCTTTACCAGGATGAAGCGTGTGTGGACTTTTGTGCAGGGAGGAAGACCAGAGGGCTGTGAGGTTTTGGCAGGGATGGGGACATTCCTTGTGTGGGAAATGCAGCAGCTGTGGGCATGTGGGCTGGGAAAATGCCAGCAAAGAGCCCCAGCCTCAGCTGCATTCCTCAAGGTGTCTTTCACGTCACTCTTGTGGCACTCTGCCACCTGGCCGTGATCCGAAAGCTGCCTGGAGGGCAGAATAAAGGTGAACTGGCACTGCGTGGCCTGGTGGGAAGCGGGGCTGCAAATGTACTGACCCCCCTCGGTGAGCGGGGTGCTCACTGCCCACGGGGTATGTGCTGCCCGGGGGCTGGACGCATGGAGCTGTTTGGGCTCTGGTCCATGCCCTCTGGCCAAACTGCTCCTTCAGTCTGATCAACTGCTCTGGCTGCATCTTGCACCTTTGGGTCTTGTCTCTTCCGTGGCAGACAGCCCAAAAGAGCCCTGATATGTTACCCTCTACTTAGTATGTTATTGAGGAGAGTGGTGAGTTCTCTTGATCTCAGTGTTACAGACAAGGACTTGAATATCTTTTGGGGAGATGATGTGTTCAGAGGTAGCTGAAATGCAGTAGGGTAGGGGAAATGCAGTGTCCTGAAAAAGATCTGGGAGATTGGGTTAGGTGATTTAATGGTTCCCCAGGCTTTAAACTCTACTGCAGGAGCACATATGCCATTAGTTCTCAAGGTTTATGGAGGATCAATGTTAGATCACCAGTGATGTCTGATTGCTATTCAAACTAAGTTGCTGTGTTCTGCTTGGATCCAGTTCCAGCTCTTGTTGCAAGGTAAGGGAAAGCTTGGAAACAGGTTTGGAATATTGTGGCTCACACACTGAAACTGTGTTGCAATACAAAGGCTCCAAAGCCACTTGATACACTGCCTGCAGATAGCAGGGATGCTTGGATGGGCTCTTAAGAAAAGGAAACAGGATGGATAATGAAAAACTGGATCTTAAGCTTTCTTGTCGTCACCTCCCCTGCTTACACAAGTGGCTTTCTCAATAAAGTAGCTGTTTGATAGGAGTTTTGGCAAGGATAGGGTAAGCTTTCAAGCTGATAACAATACCTCATGACAGAAGTTGTAAGGATGTAGTTACAGTATAAATAAGGGAAAATAGTTGTAGCTGTAAAAAAGCATCTTAATCAAAGGGGTGGTGGGGAAAGTCACCCATCTGGGAAAGCACAGGGCCTTGGTCAGTGCTTTGTCACAATGGGAAGCTGAAGATCATTGTCTAGAGAGCTACTCTGTGTGAGTGTGCAAGAAAGTACTTGTAGGAATGGCTCCAGTAGAATGATGTTGCTTCCTGTCCTTAACTGGGGTAGAGCTCTTGCTGAGAGAGGAACAGCCCAGCCTTTTTTGTGGTGCATCTAAATATTTTCATCTGCTGACATTCACAGGCTACAAATAAGCTGAGGCATATTTCTGTTAATATCTGCTTTAAGTTATCCTTTCTCCATTACTAGCGAAGCTTGGATTTGAATGGCTGACAAAGCAGCCTGTGCAGCTCTCCTGAACCAACAGCTGCTGGATCAATATATGGAACTAGCAGAGTACTAATCCCTGGAGACTTACACTGGCTTTTGTAAGATCAGGAACAGAGGGGCAGTAGCCCTAGTAATGGTGTAGATTCCCTGTGCAACAGAAAAAGTTCTTGACCCCTAAAAATGAAATAATTTGACAGTAACTGTATTGTAACTCACTTCCACCTGACCTCTTCTACCACCATGAAGGGACAGCTGAGCTAGCGCTCTACGCAGCTCTCTCAATTTAGACCTGAATGGAGCCTGTTTGGAGTTTAATTGAACATCAGAAGACACAGCCTAAGCATTAGAGAAGACTTGACTTTAGAATTCAGTAGGGTTTATTCTACAAATCTTAGATCAATGCCAATGATACAAGTTTTATGAATTCTCATTAAAAATACAAGTCAGTATAAAGATTCCAATAGTAATATAATGCATGATGATTCAGTTTCAAAACTTAAGGAATGAATCTGGGTTTTGGACCATGCTACAGAAAAGGGGAACACAATGTAGAAGAAAGAATATATAGTTTACCTCCCTTACTTTAGGAGGGGCCTGTGCCTTATTGCCACAATACCTGAAAAAGCAATATGAAGTGCATAGCAGCCTTGCCTGTACAGTCTCTAGGCAAAACTGTTGAATTTAGTATCATAGTCCTCTTCCCCCCCAGTTCTGTTAAGGTACATTTTGATAGCCTGATATAGCTATAATAATTTAAAGCTATTGCAACACCATCCCCCATAATGATTATAAACAACAGTCCTTTGAACTGTAAAATGCTCTTGTGATGCACTGAAACTTTTCCACTGTGCTAGCCATTTTGCCCAGTCTTTCCAGGGATACTAAATGCTGATTCAAACAAAAGATGATTTAGTTCCATATTCAAAACTCTCCTGTCTATGATTTTTTTGAATGAAGTCTCAGTGCAGTCTAATACTCAAATGTGTTGTTCATAGCTTCAGGCACAGTTAGAATATAAATCAGACATATTTTCTTGAACCTAGCCCTCTGATATGATGAAAGGTGTTACAGCTTCACTAAACAGTGAAATTTGGCCACAGAATTGCTAGATCAAATGCTTTGGAACGGGGGAGAAAAAAAACTACCCTTTCTTTCTGGGAGCCGCCTGCACTTACGAGAGGATTAGGCTTAATAAAGCCATACCCTAAACCTAAGTTTTAGAGAAATAGTTTATCACAAGAGGTAACTCTTGTCAAGATGTGCACCTCATTCCCCAAATGCTGTACGTACATCTGTTTATTCCTAGTGACATTTTCACCCTGTCAAAAATAATGGGTGTCTCTCCTGTTGAGCCTAGTCATTTCTTGTAGCAGAACCACATTAACATCACAGAGCAGGTATCATGCATCTATCTGCAAAAGCAGACAGGGAAACTAGGCTTAACAATATGCATACGTTTCCAAACAGAATTTTGGTGCAGACAGTGACATTTAACTGCAACTCGGCTTTTACCAAAATATTAGCATAATACAAAAATTGAAAAACACTGGGTAAAAAGAAGCTGCTGACTTCCACGCATCAGTTAAAGAAAAAACCCCTCTTGCATAAATGGAGCAGCAGCACAGAACAAGCACAGACTTGGCTATACAAATACATCCTCTCTTCTGTAGGAATTTGCAAGAATTATCCAACCAACATCATACTATCAGTTTTTAGCATCATACCAATGGTGGCAAAATCTAGTATTAAGCCATCATGCAGGCTAATGGGAATTTCTTCTGCCGTACTGAACACTGCTGTGCTTGCTTTGAATACATACTGTCACTCTGATTTGTCTTTGTAGTAAATGCATCTTATAATCTAACAGTCACATTTAGTCAGAAGTAAAAAAGTTCAGTAGCCCACGCTAGGCTTTAGTACAGTCAAGATGACAACAAAATACAAGGATGTCATTAAACTGCATATATAGAAAACAGGTTTACTTTGCATTTAAGTCACATTTAATACAAGACGAGTTGGTCTTAAACTGTCAACTGATTCTATTTGGAACAAAGTATGGCACAGATTCCCAATATCTATGGACATTGTGTAAATAACACATTTTTCTCTTTGCAATGATTATCAATTCGCCAAAAATAGTGTAACAGTCAAAAGGGAAGAGTGAAGGAAAACAGATTTAGGAGAAGAAATAAAAAATGTCTAAGAATTGAAAATAAATGACTTATTTTGTAAGAAACTTTATTTAACTTCATTTTTAAAAATGCATTCTCTCCTCAGAACAAATGCCACCGTAAAAAAAAAACTGCAGTAGCACACACTTGCACTCAAAGGAAAACATGCAAAACTGATGGCTGAAAAAATTCTGCATAAAAATCCAAGACTTCAGGCAAAAGTTTGCCCCCATGTGCCTTTAGGGACCCCAGACCATAAACAGCTTTCAGTGCAATGTCTCTTGCTTCCAATTGGTGGGGAAACATATGGCAGAAGCTTGTCTTCAGACAGCTATGCTCTCCCAGATGTTTGAAGCAAAACCAGTCTCAGCTATATTTTAAAATATCATTGTTAAACTGTTGCAGAAAGTACAAACAGAATTCAATAAAATGTCAGAATCCAGTGAAGAAAAACTTTTGAGTTCTACCCTGTGCCATACATTTCTTAAAAAAAAAAAAAATTAGACAGAAAAACAGATTTTATTAATACACCCTCTTTAAATTTTTTATTTCTGAAAGCAGCTCTTTAAGCAAATCAAAAGCAGTTCCTGAGTAACTGCAGTAAACAGTGTCTTTTTAAATATTTTTGCGTCTCAGCTCTTCTGTTTTGGTTCTTCCTTGTTTTTTTTTCTCCCTAGTTTTCAAGTTTAATCTCAAGTTCTTTTTCAAAAATGTGCAAGTTCAGTTAACATCGTTTCCAGAAGTCCACAGCTTGCAGGTCTTCCTGCAACAACTATAAGATCTGCACGTATGCTAGGTTGTACTCCTATACCTATTGCAGATTTTGCTCTCAAACCTGTACAGCATGCATTTTCACGTCTTCTTCAGCATACGCCGGGACTGCCATGTATGGAACTTATTGTAGGCCGTCTGCAGCATCTCTTCTATATGACTTATCAACTGAAACATTAAAGGGAAAAAAAATGTCCCAGCTACTGGAAAACAGATCCCCTCCCCTCCCTTTGACCAGCTACTCAGTTGGACTCCTCATTTTATTCACTAAGAGTAATCTCACTAAAATCTAAGAGGTATGCTAGATAAAAAGGACCTTGAGGCTCTACTGCAAAGTATCTGTAGAGGGAGCAGTTCAGAGAGCTACTAAGCTGAGAAGGTCACAGGGAAGTGACACTTGATTGTGCTGCCTGTTCCAGTATTTAGTCTGTGACTACTTCAAGTCTGGCATGGTGGGAGACAGTTTTGAAGTTGCTAAAGTTCTACTTCATGGTGGAAGTGAAAAATGAAACTTCCCCTTTTTTGTTGTTTCACTTGGGTAATTTCAAATTATGGTTCTTGACATATACTGGTATTACTCAGCGAGTTATACAGGGAGAGAAGACATGCTTAACTGTGCACCCAATTTCTCTCTGCTCATTTCCTAGTTAACAAAAAACTTACAACACCCTAGGATAAGAAGTAACAAAGCTACCATCCTCTGATAATTACAATTCTAATTATTAATATGCACCCACATCATTAAAGTTAAAGAGTATTTTCCCCTTACATTTGTGCTTAAATACTGTCTCCGAATCTTTTCTTGGAATGGGCAGAGCTTTGTAACCTGAAATCTTTCCAGGTTGCTCCTCATTTTCACAACCTGAGAGGGAGAGAAACCAGTATTATAATCACTTGCATGGAAGTCTCATTTCCTTTAACAAACTGTTCTCCAACAAAACACCTTATAACTAATTCTGGGGGCTACTTTAAGTATGTATAGTTTGAGGAAGAAAAGTTGTTAAAATATTAGTCTCTAACAATTCTTGAGTACGTATTTATTTTTGAGGCAAGTGCAGTATGACTGAAAGTGCAGTGTGCCCCTGTGATCATTATTACTTTGTCAGTAAATACTATAGGTAAGATATTCACAAACCCTTTTTTTTTCCTTCAAGCAAAGACTGTACCATAGATTTTCAGGCCATATTTTGCAGCAGAAAATCTAACACATCTGCGCGCAAATTTTTATATTTGTGATCCGTGTGAGGTCAAAATAGTTACAATCATATACCTGATTGTAGACAGACATCTCTTCTTGAAGGCAATTTTGTTCTACAAAGCACTGTATGTTTTGAAGCTGTGACTGAGTGATTTTTGCAATAGTTGTAAGAGTAAGGAAAACTTTCTTTTAACAGTCACTGCGGAGGTTATGTCTTAGAGTTGGGGAAGGGGGGCTTACTTTGTGTGTTTTAAACGGGCAGTGAGAAATCTGCAGGTGGAATATAGCTGACCATTCTGTTTTAAACTAGCTTATAGCAACTCTGCCTGACAGAGACTAACAGGTGTGCAGGGATAAGGATGCTTTTAACCAATAGCACCAGCAGAACTGCTGAAAAAAGTAACGGTTTACATTGTTTTGTGACCTTCGGTTCTAGGCATGAGTAAGCACTGCACTGATTCAAAGCATGAGTATTAGTTCTATACTTCAAGTTAATGACAGTCATTCTAAACCATGATCTGGCCACATCATAACCACGGCCACACTAGGAAGCTCTGCCTTACCTTTTCTTCTAGGAATGGTGTGTTAACAGGAAAGCAGGACCAGAAGTGTCGTAGCAGTTCCCCTACTGCTACATACAAATGTTTTAGTTCAGACTGAATGTCATTTGGCACCATCTCTGCAACAGGAAAAAGATTTTGTCACATCACTCAGAACTATTATATGAAAAATGCGAATGTAAGGCTAATGAAGGACTTCAGCAATATACATTTCTACTAGAATCACAGAAAGGTTGGCTGGGAGGGAACAATGAGGTGCCTCACACCTGAAGTAGAACTATCAGCAGTACTAGATCAGGTCAGCTGCTATTTATGACTATATACTTGGAAGAATCTTGTATATTATATAGGGAGATCTATGCCAAGCAAAGAATGGACACCAAACTTAATCCAGGATTAGAAGCAGTATATTTGTATTGTTCCAACAGTTTGGCAGTACTGCTTCTGCGACCAGCACCTTGCTCTCTTCGCAGCACAGTGCTAAATACTGCGTGGTGGATACTGCAAGCTTTTCCCTTTCTCTTATGCTGGCAATGAGAATACAGTCACAGCATGTGGAAGATGAAAAATTCAGGCAGGAACAAGGAACTGTACTCCAGATACTATTAAAGAAGAAGGGGCGAGAGGGTTCAAGAGCAGGGAAGGAACCACAATCATTAAAACCAAAGACAAAAAGCACAAGGAGTCATTGTGAATGACAGGAGCACAGTGAACTGAACAGTGAACTCTAGGATGAGGCTGTTTTTTAAAAAAAAAAAAAAAAAAAGGTGGAGTGCAGCACCTAGTATGCCAACTGGGATAGGTAAGAAAGCCTCACTACTGCTTGCTGACTCCTTTCTTTCAGTACCATAAAAAACCTCGTACTTCCTTTTTCAGCTGTCTGAATTAGTTTCTGCTGCCTTCAGACCAAGTAACACAAGTTAAGCTGGAAAACTGTTATAAACCCTGCCTTGTGTGAGTAGGGGTTCATCTGCTGTGAGACTAAAGAGAAAGGAAATCAGACTGGCAGAAATGTGACAAAAGGGAAATGAATGGAGGTGTGAGAAAGAGGGGTTGTCTGTTTTGCCCTTGCAGTCTACAAGAAGTTGTCCTGTTTCACAGCAAGATGTGGATCTTAAATGCAGGCTGCAAAAAACCTAGTTCCAGACAATTATCTAGACCTCACCTCGTTAGAGCTTTCCCACAGTATGCCTTTATTTTCTATAATCCAGGAAAAAAAAAATCAGAAAAGAGAAATGCTGAACAAGCAAAACCCATTATCTGTAAGAGGACTTCATATCAAGTGCATCCTTCATCACTTGCTCTGTAAAATTTTCTCTCATTCACTTGTGTCAGCACTGGTGTAGCCAGTACCACCCTCATGGTGTGGCTGGGTTGTTGCTTTTCTTTTGTTGCTGTAACCCAGTATTACTCCAGCTACATGTTTCCATAATTTCCTTTATTGCTGTAACATATTCTAAGAGGGAGATGAAACAGCAAGCCAGGTACTGCTGTATAATGCCATAAGATACAATTAAAGTATTAGACATCCTAAATCCTTACGGTTTATGGCTTGCTGTGTTCCACCCTGCATAAGTGCTCCTCCAGGTGATAGGACTGCAATAGTGCTAGTAGCATCACCACTTGAAAGAACCTGAAGGGAGAGAGGGAACAAATATTTTGGATCAGTCTTTCAAAAAAAATATTTTTAAAATAAGTTATAGTTGAAGTCCAATGGCAAAGATACAGTTGAGCAGATACAATGGAAGTTCTAATGAAGAGTCTGCTCGTCTCCAGAATTAGACACAGTGACTTTGAAGTGCTATAGCTCATGTTTTCAGTGAAAGCTCTCCAATTAATTACAGATAAACAAACCTTTTCTTTACCTAGCACACGAACTGGCTGTGCAGCTACTTTGAAATGAGACAGAGAATTACTATACAGAAATGTGACACGTTCACAGTTATGGCTGCTTTATTTAGGACCAAATCTAGGTTTACTAACAGAGGAAGTCCAGATGCTGGCTGGGGAGATTGGCTACGTGGCTATGCTGTCCTCCAGTTGCCAGGACAGAGCTTCTGTGCAGCCCGCAGTGAGATCTACATCCTGCCTAAGTGCATTTAGGAGCAAAAGACCCATTCAGATATAAACCTGCTTACTATGACCTCCTAAGACCATTACATCCTAAATTTCAGGGTGGGGGGGATATCAATAACATTGGCCTGTGCTTCATGTTGCGTGACTGCCCTGCTTTACTACTTCACACCCTTAGCATTTCCTCAGAAGAACATGGTAACAATAGAATATAACTCTGAGTATCAGCAATAACTCAGTTTCCTATTGTGTAGATTTTAGACACGATAGCTCAAAAGGTATCACCTAAAATTGTAAAATAAATTGAGTAACATAAAACTATTGAAGATAATTAAGTTTACCCTGAAAAATTAAAATTCCAGAAGACATGAGACACAAAATTATATAGAAAGCAAGATGCTAACATCAAGAAGGGATTTTTTTTTCAGCATTCTTCCATACCTGAGTTAGTTTGGGTACATATGTTTCCATTTCTTGCCTAATACTATGGAAAGAATTAATTATATCCTGACTGGTTGCATATTGCTGTGATTGAATTGGAGTTGGACCATGATAATACCTGTGAGGTGAGAAAAGAAAAGAGAAAAGTATATTAGTAAGAGTGTTGGTAAAACAGAGGCCAAACTCAGTGGACAGTTCTTCAAATGTTTCCAATTTTAGATGCTTTGCAACTGGTGACACTAGTATCTTAATCTTATTTATTGACAAGGTAAACTACGTTGCCACATAGGAAGAGGTTGGGTTAGGGATGGTATGGTATTCTCAAAGTAAGAGAAGAGCTTCTATCGTTGAATCGGTGAGCATCATTTTGCTCATGAAAAGCTATCTGTGCCAACTAATTCTGGGAATATCATTAGAATGGAGGAATTCACACCACTTTCCATTGAAACTAAGCTAAATGAAGTTAGGTACATGTTTCAAACTGTTCTCTTTCCTGTGGTATCACTCCTCTTCTGAATTTACATCTATGGTTCTAAAACTCAAAAGTCTAGAAAACAAGAGGACTATTACTAGAAAAACACTAGACCAGTGAGCAGTCCAAACTATCCCAACTGCACTTTTTTTGCCTGGGAGTGGATTTTCCTTGAAATCGTATATATTTTCACATGTAACATGTACATTTTTGCACTGTAAGCTGCGAGAAAGTGCTGACCTGTGAGTATAGGTCTGCTAGACTTTCACAGAAATTACACGTCAAAGCCCTTGCAGAGACTTAATTTGCTGAAAAGCAAGATGAAATAAAAATACAAATTTATATGGGAATTACTTGGAAGCTGGTTTATGCAGAAGTTCATATTAGGTTTCTAAACTTAGCCTAAACACACTTGAGCGTGGCACAGTAGAGACTAAATCAGCTGATTCTGTGCAGGCTGTAATAAGAGACCTGCTAGATTGAATATGCTGAAATAGTCATGCATATTTTGTTAACTTACCTATCAGACTTCTTTAAGTTTAGTGCAATAGTTTTAATGCTATTATTCTTTGCTAAATCTTCATATTCAATGGACTCCTGGAGTTTCACCTAAAATAAGCCAAATAATTATACACATCACTAATGAGGACACAATTTGATGCATCTAGTGCTTTTTTCCAGTTCACTGAGTTTGAGCAGAAGAGTTACTAAAACCTTAAAGAAAATGAACGTATGGAATAGTTCATGTCTACCCTCCAGAGGGAGTAGTGCCCAACATTGTTTGAAGTGTGCAATTTGGAAGTCTTGGCACTACCGCTTTTGCTGCAGATTTTGGCCAAAATGTGCAGTCCCTACCGCTTCCATAAAATGTTCTGCTACACATAGATCATTCTTTGTACTCTCTATTTATGTCCACGTATCTCCAAATTAGCAGAAATAGTAATTATTTAAATTTAATGGCTGGCGTACAGTAGTGCAAGACTAAAACCATAATTACCCACGCTGTCTGGTGACAGTAGAGCTAGAGCATTAGCGGTGAGAGATAACAGCACAGTGATATCAGACTTTGTACAATGAGAAAACTACTTCTGAAGTCTCCTACTCTCATGCTACTCTTTCACTCCTCTTTTCATCATGTCTAGTCTTGGTATATTGTTTTCTCCCCAGTAAAAATTGCAGCTTTCAGGAAAGTCAAAGCTGTTGACTACCTCAACATTTAACAACACATGTATTCTACAACCTTTTCTCACAATATATTCAGATTTTGAGTCCCCTTGGCATTTTCTACTTAGGCTGTCAACTCTAGCAAGAGTATTCGGTTCAGTTTTGTAGCTATTACAGTATACCCTTTTCCACTTTGTGAGCTGCTGCAGTTAGTCTAAAACAGGCTACTGCCCTGTACTTCAGTGTACCAGGTGTTACTACGCTTTCAGTTTAACCTCACTTCAGCTTCTGACCTTAAGATGAAGGCTGCTATGTGCCAGTTTAATCATCCCCTCTACAAACAATACACTTGATAGGTTAATATTAGTGCTTGAACACCAATATCCCTTTCAGATGGATGTTCCCTAGAAGTTTTCAGGCATTTGGAAAAAAAAAAGGGGGGGAGCTGCAAAAATAGAACTGCACTGAATGGGAAGAACCAGATTTCTGGGTCTAATCAGAATCACGTTGGAATTTTTTTTTACTTTCGTTGGGCACTACTGAAGAGATAAACAGACCAATACTTCAAGGTGTAATTTATTTGTGTTTACTAACAGAAGTACAAAGCTTCTTATAGGCCCTCAGGTTCTTATTCTACATACTTCTAAGCAAAGCTAAATAAGTATCACTTTAGATGCATCATAAAACAAGTAAGGAACCTTCAGCAATCTTTTGAGAGACAGAGCTTCCAGTTCCAATCAATTAGAATTGCATCAGCTAACTTTATACCTTTTTCATTGGTGGCTGAAAGAAATCTGAATCCCTGGAGTTTCCATCCGTACTGCTGGTCTCACTGTAATGGTCATTTTGTGCTTCTCTTAAAATAGAGAAACAGCATTAAGAAGAATTCACCTCACAGGAAACTTAAGATACAAGCTAGAGACAAAGTAAATACATCTGTTTCAAAAATTTTATATGCATGTTCACATACTGTATGTCAACTTTTTTCCCCTTATGTCTTCATTTCTAGCGGTTGATCTAGATAGAAGGAACCAACTTCTCAAATAACCCTGTTTGTCAAAGGGGAAATTCAACAGCAGGGGAGGGTGCTTCTCCCTCTCTTCAGAAATAGTAGTGTGCCAACAATGCAAGTGGGACACAACAAAATAATGACTAAATTAGAAACACTTTGCATACACACTTATGCCAACCAGGTATTAGCAGAGCTATGGGAGCCCTGAGATTCTGTTTCAGAATGAGAGCTATTGTTTTGTCTCTTCCTGAACTGAGAAACAGAAACACACATTAGCCAGAAGAGATAATTTAAGGTCCAGTGTTCAACTTGTGCAAGACAGAAGAACAACACGAGGGAACACAGCTACACAGAAGAAAGTACTTAATTAAGATCTCTAACAGGTAAGGTCTGTAGGATTTGGGTAGAGTAGTAATCCTTTGGCAGTTGCCTATAAACCAGTCGTAAAGCAGACTTCCCATCAAACCCATTTCATGCCTCTTTTAGGAAGTTTCCTTTGTGAAGTTCACTGGAAATACACGTAACCACCTGATACTTTTTTTTGGTCAGGGGCACAGTACTGCACTGGAGGAATCTTTCATCTGATCCACCCATGCCACACTGTTCTTCTGCTTCCTCATTTACTTATATCCATGCACCCCACTACAGGAAGCCCCAGCAGACCTGCTCCCGGAAGGCAGGCCATAGGAACTCCCTGCACCAGACCTCACCTCCACAGAGCAAAGAGAATACTACTTCTGCAGCCTTCACCAGGTCTAGAGAACTAAGGCAGAAATATCCTTTCCTTTTTTAATCCGCTTTGTACGATAACTCATCTAAAAATAGCATTTGTCATCTCAGACAGCTCTGAAGAACTTTTATAAAGTAAAATGGAACCTAATGGTATTTTCATTTCTAGAGGAAAATACTTCATTCATAAAAATTAAAAGTTGGATGAGTAATTGAAAATGTATTTTTGTTTTGGAAAGTCCTTTAAAATTGTTACAAAAAGCTTTTACAGAACATTGAAACTTACTGTTTCCTGAGGCCAGCTGCAAGGACCATGGCACTATGATGATTAAAGCGTTTTATAATGGCAGCGTTGCTACTTTCTCTAGCAGATTTTGAGGCATTTGATGTAGAGGCCACAGAAGCAACACCATAGCCCTACAAAGAAAACAACATTAGCTACCTCTTGCCCCAAACCCAGAAGGACGATTCTCTGTTTTTCACTGAGTCAAGATGCCTGCATGCCACCTCCTCTGAACTCTACTGAGTGATACTGCATCATCATGTGAAGCAGTATTTTCGTACCTTGCCCCACCATCACCTTTTGTACTTCAAAAAATCTCCATAGAGTATTTGATTCTGCTAACACTTGGCAGTTTAGAGGTGTTTGAGAGAAAAAATTCTTAAACAGATAGTCTTATAAAATCATGCTCTGTTATAAGTAAAAACAGAACTAGCTTAAAAAAAATTTAAGGATTGCCTGTACAAAACAGACAGGCATTGATGGCAAGTAAGAGCTAGCTATTGTTTTACTGACCTCTTTTTTAATATCCTGTGGGACACCAGCAGCCCACAGGCTAAGTGACACCTGTCAGGAGGATGTGATACCACTAGGAATTCAAAAAACCTCAAGCCTTAATGTCGGCAGTGTTCCCCAGTTACCAAGTGGCTGAAGGCAACTCGCTTTACACCATGTGCAGTTTCATGCTTGCAGTTAACCTGCCTCAAAAGAAAACTAGGGCAGTTAGCACAGCACTTGAAACATACCCATCCTAAACTCCTAGTCCAGTTTCAGACTGTTGGCTTTGTACAACTCTTACAAAAAAAACCAAACCCAAACCTACCAAACTTAGTAATGGACAGCATTATTAATTGCAACTCAAAAATTTATGTTAAATCAACTGCAGAAAAGTGCATCTTTAAGTTATTTCACATTATGGTACGCCATTTATAACAATTGTTTTAATTTGTACTTGGAGGCAGGTAATAGTTCAAGTTAGTCATATTTTTAGCAAAACATGGTATTTAAAGCTAAACCAAGAAAACTGTATAAAGTGTCCTTAACATTAAGCTGAATCAAATAAATAGCAATGTTCAAAGTGAGAACAAATGCAAAGACTTTTTCCTGTTTTATGCTACTCTTCTGTACATTGTCACAGCTTCTAAAAGGTAGGAAGAAACCAGAGAGTCCACTTTGGACAAAAAAGCCATCGAAGTGAAATAATAATTATTCTTTAGAAAAGGAAAGTCCTGCTTTTATACCCAGCACACTAAGGCAGACATCTGAGGCATACAGGTCCATGGGCACAGTCTCCATTTCTTTACACACATACAACTGTATAAATGTTGACTACCCAACCATTGCAGCAACCTATTAAGTGATGTGTTTTAGAATTAGCATTTGTAGTTATTTTAACAGGAGAAGGACCCACTTTCTCCTTAAATGAAACTAAGGTGGGGGGTTGGTGGTTTTTTTTGCCAACTACTTACTTCATCTAATGTTTTATCTTCCAAAGCAGTTAAATCTATCAGGGGGTTTTTTACTCCTTGAGACACAATTGTTTTTAACCCTGTATGAAACAAAGAAAAAAACGTGAAAAAACATATTTAAACAACTAGAAATGATTGTGGGATTATTAGATTATATTTAACCTTTAAAAGGAGAAGACAAAAGTTCTGCAGATGCCCAAGTATCACTGTGACTAAAACTTTCAACCCTTTTCAAAGTTCCATTTAAAATAAGCAACAAACTTGAAAAGTTATTGTAAAAGATCATCCTACTAATTAGCACAGTTTTCACCAACTTCTACACATCACTGAATACTCTTTGGTAAAAAAAAAAAAAGAATTGAAGATGCAATTATATTTGTTGTATTTGTGGGAACTGGGAAGCCTTAATTGTGTGTTTCTTCTAATTTCGGCACTGTTTTGCTGCCCTGTCTTGGGTAGAATGGTAATTTGTATCTGGTGATAGCTTTTACTTGTGAAGGATTGTGGATTCCTAATAGAATGCTTTCATTAGTCAGAATACATATTAAGGAATAGTGTTAAGTGATCTCAACTCTCCACATTTCTGTATCATCACAAACCTACCTCAAAAATCCAATAAAAACTTAAGTCAGATAGTATTTTAAGATTTCACATTAAAAAGGCTGATAGAGAACAGGGATGGCAACTCCTCTGGAAAATCTTAAACAAGATCCATATTTGTCTATTACTAAAACCTGATCTATAACAAAAGCTATACCTGTTGTAAGCTGCGCACATACCATAAAACGAACCTTATGTAAACAAAATTATTCCATAGTAACTGATGGCACAGCATAATCAATCTAGCATGGAATTTATCACAGATTTACTGTTGCAGGAGTTGTAATAAAGCTTACTTCTAGTGCTACCAGTTTCTAAAGGCTAATTTGTTTCAAGAAATGCACTCACTATGAAACATGCTAAGAACTGCAAAGCTATAGCTAACTTTCAATGACAATCTGTAGCTTTCACTTTACAGTTTGACAAGCAAGATGCCCAGTAAATGAACAGAAGAAAAGATATACCTCTTGAGTGTTATGCTCTATGATGTAGCTAAGACTGTAGCAGCCTACTGCAGAAACAAAGTCAAAAAGCTTACCTTTTTCATCCAGTTTGGCACATTCTGCAAAGAGGTCTTTTGAGCCTGTATTGAGCCTGTCCCGATGGAAATAATGAGACTGAAAAAATCGTGTCCAGAATTCCTTCTCTGTCATGTTATGTGGAACATTTTCTGCATATTTCATTTTTACTGTGAACAAAACACATAATGATTATAAACTGTTCTGCAAATCTTAATATGATATTTTATGTTAAAATTTCCTTGCTTGCTTCCTGTCTAATACTGCCTTCATTCATGCTGATTAATTGTAAGGGAATGCAGTAGCTAAGCATGAGCAAACAGGTACTGGTTTATGCCCTGCAATGCTAGCTAATGCTTTGATAAGAAATGCAAGTAACAGTGGTCTGAATATTCTAATTTGAATTGCAGAGACACAAGAAGTCTGATTTGCTGGAGTTCTAGTTATTCTCAGAATGGATCTAGTCTTTTTAACTACGGGCCAAAATGAACGAGTGCCAGTTTCAATATAGCGATGGGGAATGATGGAAATCAGATTCTTTTCCTCCCAAAGGTGATTTCTTGAAAAATAACAATTAACTGCAATGCTGAGTAGGAGTATCATGGGAAACAAACATCCATTCACAACTTGACTTTTTTTTTTAAGGCAACAAGTTAAAGTGTTTTCATTTAACGAAATCAAATTTTCATTTCAAAAGCATGTTTTAACACATGCTTCTTCCCATCCCTCAAACGAGGCAGGGAGAATCATCCAGAAGACTGAAGATACAGTCCCTCATACTTCCAGGCTCAGACTAACTTTCCAGTCTTCCCATAGTAAGAAACAAATCTTAAATGCATGTATTTGTTATATAAAGCTCTATTCTTACCTGCAGGATATGTTCGAAATATGGATTCAATGATATCTGAAGTCAAATTATACCTCAGACCATTGCAGCCATCTGTTTGAGGCCGTACATCAGCCTAAGAAAAAGCATACAGGGAGGAAAACCAGTCATGTCTGAATGCCTTCTTTAACTGTAGAAGGAAAAAAACTGGCATCTTGTAATCAAATTCTGCTGCAGATAAAATAATCTTCTTCCTCCAATAATCCATAGCATATTTGATCATAAATAGGTATTTTTAGAATGAGAAATGAAGGAGCATGCAGTAATTACTTTATTATACTTGCCACTTAAGGGATGATTCAACAAGTAGACTGCAAGCTTTAGAAGACAAAAAGCAAAGACCACTCCATCAGTCAAAAGAATGGTATGCTTAGTTTAATACCTCCTTGTTTCAAAGTAAAAATAGGCAAGTTTACTGTAATGCCTAATTTTTTGTTGCTCATTCAACAATTCAGCTAGTGAATAATCAGTGATGATAATGAAGTGACAAAAAAAGATTTATGGCTCTTACACCTCATTTCCTTATACACTAAAAGCATCTCAGTATAATTGACAAATAACATTGAATTTAAAAATTGAGACTAAGCATTAGTCAGAACTTGCAAGTTAGATCTCACTGATCTCTTCAGGAAGCTCTGGAGGAAGCAAGCACTCAGTCCAATTCTCAGTAACAGGAAAAAGTACATGATTGCATATACTGCCTTCCTTTCTTCCTTTTGCTGTACACCTAAATTCTAGTTTTTGTACCACCCTCTTCCTAGAGAAACACTCGTTCTGAGTAGAGCCATGTAGTTATTTTAACTTGAACTAGGACATATAAATACCTGAAGTTTTCTTCCTCGCAAGTGCAGAGTACACAAACACAACCAGTTATTTTAAGAAAGCTTCAGTTTTGAAGGTTTGGGTTGTTTGGCTTTTTTTAATGTTAAGGTGTAAGAATAATGGGAGACAGGAAATCAGAGCAATCAAGTTCATTGAGTAACTGATTTGGGTATTTCTAGGGGGAAAAAACAAGCGTTTGTACAGTAGCTAAGTCATAAACCAACTCCCACCTCCTCTTTCCCTCCCAAACCTTTGATGTGTGCACAGTCATTACAAAGGCGGAAATGGGATTCCAGCAGAAGAGTCATAATCTGTATGAATTTTGTTGCAGAAGTAGAAACTGTATCTGTAGGAGGAATCTGAAAATTGTATCTATTTAGACTGCATTGGGATTACTGAGGCATGGTTTCTACAAATAGGTAATGTAACTGAAAGCTGGGGTAAGAAAGAGAGAAAACAAGCTTTCAGATATTACAGTTGTTCTTCAAGTAGCTGAAAGCATGTACTGGTTTAAAAAAATGGGGGAGGGAATAAAACCTTTTGTGTGGAAAGTCTTTGCAGCTTCATTTATGCATGTCAATGCTGCAACAGATACTCTTTAACTTATTGAGTTAATACACTGTAATCTAGTGACTCTAAGTTCACCATTATTCCTGTTTTATGGAAGGCAGAGCAGCAGTATGAACAACATCTGTCTATTGTCAATTTAAAGTTCAAATTGAGCATCTTAAATTGACAAAATTTGGAGGTTGCAGATTTGCATAAAACCTTTACTTTTTTTTTTCTTTTCTCTTTTACACTTGCAATAGTCTAACTAACATCCAGGAGGATGTTAAGTTGAGGAACCAGGAAAGAACAACATTAAAGCGTATGAGAAGTACACGAGCAGAACTCTTACTTTCCCCAATTTGTTTGCTCTAAAATCCCTTAAGTAATAGGTTCAACATACCAGAAATGCTGCAGAGATGCCCACATCCTGCTTACTAGGTGCTGCAGAATTATCCCCTGCATTCAGGCTTAAACGGTTGGCCCAGAATTCTTCAGCACTGATTACTTGGCTCACAACAAGGTCTTTATAGAGCTGAAACAAAACAGGATCTTCTTGCAGCATTCTGGTAAAAGAATGTATTGAATAGAATTGAAACACTGCAGAATAAATCACCAAGATTTCCATAACTAACATGAGTTCACAAAAGGAACAGAAACCAACTTTTCTTTCAAAATGCTGTGCATTTCTTGACAAGATTGTGTAAACAACCAACCTCAACAGCTGTATTTGTCTCCAAAGACTTAAGAAAGGACTAAAAAAAAGTTTAAGGAATAGCATTAAATGCTAGAAAACAGTAATGCCTAAGAAAAAATTATTTTGGAATTAACATCTTGTCCTAAAATATTCTGTGGTACTCTTGTGGCTTTGCACATCCAGCACTGGAGTCTCCTGAACTGTAAAAGCACAACGAATTTTCTTGAACTTCCATAAAAAAGGTCAGTGGCAGGTGGTGGGGGGTAAGTGCAGGGAGAGAGATTTCAGCACTATCCAATTCGTGTTTAAGATCTTAAAATTCAGTAGTTACAGGTCTCTATTCTAGTGCAAGAGTACACATTATAGAATATGTGTGGCATAACATACCTTAAAACACACATTACCCTGAGTTGTTTGCTCATTTATATTTCTGTTGGTGACAGTAGGATCTTCAGCACTTAACTATCACATGCAGCACAAGTGCTACAGAAACATTCACTGTCACTACTTCCACCAGGGAATAATGTTTACGAATGTTATCATCCAAGTATTATCACCCTTACTATCCAAAATGCAAAGAATGCATGCACCTGAAACTTCAGTTAATTCATGTTTAAGCAGCTTTTCATACAGCTGTGTACCTGATCTGAAACCCACTAGGCTATTTTCAGGGAAACATGCATATGTGTTCACAATCAACCTCAACAATCTTTACCATGTACCTCAGGGTCTTATCATTTGCAAACAACAACAACAAAGAAATCTTATGAATACATAGTACGTGGTCTAGGGAAGAACATGGATAAACTGCAATTTGGACTGAATGAAAGTCTGCAGCTGCTCTAAAGATGAAGTAGGATGAGATGGAAGTGAAAACTTTGTGGCAGGACATCCCTATTATGTTTTAACCACCAAGGTTTTTCCAGTTTTTCTTATTGGTACAAATATGGATTAGTGGCAATTCTTACAAATTAGTGCAGCAGGAAGCAGTGTTATTCTAATTATTTCATTAAAACTTGGAATTTTCGTACATACCTGACCTCCACATATCAATAAATGGAGGAAATGCTACAGGGACTCTGGATGTAATGCCCTTCCAGAACAGGTTGAAACGTTTTTGCCTCATCTGTTGCAAATTAAGCTAATGAAGCCCCATTACTAGACTCCGACATCTAATCATCAGAAGAACAGACTATGACTGAGTATGTGCAGAGATTCTGGCTTTTCTGTAACTAGAAAAGCTCTTAATGCCACATGGCATAATACTGTAAAACTCCATTTAAGGGTACAAAGATTCATAGCTAAGACTGCCCATGTACTCAGTATTAATACTGTTAGAAATGAGGCGCGCAGCGTAAGGAAACTAGTGCAGTAATAGCGCCAAAGCTGTCTACACTGCTGTAGACCCTAGTGGTTGCTGCAGTACTGGAATCAGTTAATCCTGGCTGTGTCAGAGCTCCAGCACAAGGAAGGGCTCTTCCCTTTCTGCTGGGAAATCTCCTTGTAAAGATCTGATCTGCCCAATGAGGCAATGCTCCTATGTTTTGAAAAATCTAGCTTTAACTTACCTAAGTTCAAAGCTGGAATGGTCTTTGGAAACAGAAACTAGCAAATACAGGATTCACAGCAGATGCTAGAATCAAGTGAAACTCATATGGGGAGATGCAGAGAAGGGTGCTCTATGGCCACAAGGACTGGTTCAACACAGACTTTTTAAAGGAACGGAAGTGTATCTTAAAAGCCCTTTTGGGAAAAGGACTTAGGTCCTGAACATCTTCTCAAAACATTTTTTAGAATAAACATCCTGTATGCCAAATAACAAACTACTGCATCTCAAGTGAGATGCATGAAAATACCTAGCAATTTAGTAGAGTATATAAAACACCAGGAAAGAAGATTTGAGGGGGAAGAAGTTACACAGGGAGGGGGAATAAAAAAAATCACAAATCAAGGAAGGTGAGAATTTCTGAAAAAGAAAAAAAAATATTTCAAGCAGCTTTTCTAACTGATACATATATACTTAAGGAGACTAAAGAGACAGACTGCCAGTTGGGTGCTTTCATCTCATAGCCATGAATAACAAAGACTGGGTGGCAGCCGGGCTGGCTGCCTTTACACCTCAGGAACATGTCACTGAGAACGCAAGTATAGTCTCAACATGTTACAGTTATGTAAGTCTCAAGGAACTGCCTCTAAATTGAAAGCAGAGAGATTTTTACTAGGGAAACAAATGCTGTATCGCTAATGATGTTGCACTAACAACAACTTAGCAGAAATACACTATAGTTAGGTAGCAATTAAAAAAAAAAACCCAACCCAAAAAACTTTAAGGCTCCTTTCCCTTTACCTGTTCTTCTCCTCAAGTTCTTTATTAGCTTTCCTTTTGAACTTAGGCAACAGTTGTTGAAGAAGATCCTTTACCGCATCTCGCTCCTTCACTGCTGTGCTTTCATTGGAGAAGTGAAAGTTGGTTGTGTCCCCTGCATGCAATACTAGCTGAAGCTGAATTTTAGCTTTACCTTCTGGACTGATTTTCTGGCCTAGATTATACAGAGAGTATTAATTAGCAACAGACAGTAAGCTTCTACAAGAAACTCTCTTCCCTAGAGTATTTGCTTATAAGCAGTTATGCTCATCATCCAATTAAATACCATTATCCTTTGTGTGAATTTCAGCCATGAAAGTGGAACAGACAGACTGCCCCTTAAATTAGTTTGAACCCTGCACCTTGTTCTCTCTAAAACACAAGACAGGGACACCAGTAGCCTATTGCTCAGTATCCTTCAGCTACTGCTCAGGAGCTCTGATCTATCTTTGCATTCACCACATCCTCCATTAGAAAACTGCTGCAAATTAGACTGTCATCACCTGGACACTTTAACCTGGTACCAATCCAGGCTGCTGCTGAAAGGTGACAACCACACTCCCCCTTTCCACTTCTTCCTGCTGGCTTTCTTGTACAAGTGTTAGCATTTGTGCAGCAAGCCAAACCAAGGAACTGATCCACTGAAAAGTAACTCCCTATTGTTTTTCCAGCTGGACCAGTTCCCACAGAAGAAAAGCTGTAAGAAAGCAGATGCCGGGTGGAGTAACAGCATGTCTGCTGACAGCAAAGGTATGCTGGTTTCAAGTAGTGTGGTAAGCACATTTAGCCACTAGTACTCCCAAAGTTGATCACCAATGCCTCCAAGGTGCTATTACACCCTCATGACTCATAAGAAAAACCTAACTCCTGCTTCCTTTCTCATAACCAGAGGGAGCAGAGGCTAGAACAACTATGTTTACAGACTGTTGTGCTATATTGACTTCAGTGTAGCACTGCAAATGGCACCAACTTAATTTTGAATCTTACCCCTTTCTCCAGTGCCAATGGGAGACAGGAACCAGATGTCACCACTAAATAATCATCTCTATTACAAATTTACAAATACCACCCCCACTTTTTTTATTTTAGATGACAAAACCGAGCATCTTTCATCTACATTAAGACTTCAATGACTATATATGTAAATATTAAAATATAAGCTGCTTAAATGTAAGCAAATAGCTAAATAAAACCTTCACAAAGTTGATTATTATTCGTGAACAGAGCTTTTAAACTCCTTATCACATTTGTATTTAAGAAAACAGCATATTAGTTCTGATTCATCACACACACCTTCGATCATGCTACAGTACTTGTACGTGACTTTAAACAGCAATAATCGCTAAACCTTTACCAAGTGACGCATACAACTTTCTTTTTATTCCTTCTTTGGCACTGCAGCACATGGAATATAAGGGCTAACTGGAGCCAGAAAGACAGCACGCTATAGACATTTACTGTTCAGTTTTGACTTGCAAGTACTCTGCTATTGCAACAGCAAACGCTTATTCGGAATGTTACCAGTTAGGCCAAACTACAGAAGCTAGCACTTCTGAAGCTATGGTCGGCTGGATGAAAATAAAACAGTGAGGTTCATTTTATATGAAAACTGAAACAGCTTTAGATGCATATTTTAACAGATGACATGCCAGATAGCTTCTGTGTTAGACCCTGAAAATCCTATACTCTTCCTCAACGCCCCTCCCACCTTTCCCTCCACAAGCATATGGCACAGATTATTTTTCTGTTCAATTTATTGCAGAAGTTTATCAAAAGTTAATAGTAAATGCAGTATAACTTAAACATCTGAAGACTTCAGAAGTTCTGCAGTAGCATCCTTAATAAACTGGTGATACTTCACCATGGTCCCAATCTCTGCTGCTACATAGAATAACCTAGTCAAAGCTCCAGACCCTTGCAACATTCCTAACTTACCTACTAGTGTTTTATGGCAAATACAATTTGGGTTGTATTTAAATGTTTATTGAAATACTGCTTACTGAAGCTGGAATAGGAAAAGTGTTCACTTACATTTTATGTCTGCATACATATGGCTGACTGTGAATCGGTCTTTGCCTTCAGGTGCCCATGCTATCCTTTCAGCCATAAGGTAGAGAGCTCCATCCTGCTTCTTCTGACGTACCTTCTTTACAATCAGTAACACTTCTTCAGATGACGTTGCCATTGCGGCTATATGGAGCTATTAAAAACATACAGTTGAGCTGATTAGTATAATTATTTTTGCTGTAACTCTTTCACTACTCCTATCTATATCAAAGTATTACAACCCACATTTACGTGTTAATGCCTACATAATTTTTGAAACATCCCAGATAAACATGCTTCCCTCTGTCAGTGCAATCAGCAAATTTAAACAAGATACTGCTGGCTACCTAAATAATTAATCTAATTATATTGCCAATACTGCTTTTGCTCCAATAAAAGACCCGCAAATCTTACATTTAAACTGATAACCAAATTTTCCTCTTTTAATGTTCCTTTACTGGTTTTTCAAGTTCAGAAGAATACTGAAGCTGAGCAATGACATACATTCCAAATCTCCTCTGGCATTTGGCAGCAATTCCCTTCTTCAGTGTGAATGGCAGATGTTAAGTCGTTTCAGAAAAAGGAAGGATACAAGGTATGTGAAAAATCATGGATTTTCAGTTCTCTGTGCTAAAGATAAGGTAGCCCAGTTGCACTCCAGTTCTTACTGTGGTGGTTTTTGCCCAACACTTGAACAATGTTTTGTACACTTGATTCCAGCTGGCCAGTTTCCTATCCGTCTCCCCCAAAGTCCGAGGGACTAACGTTAGACCTACTTCAACACAATGGTGATTTTGTCACCAGTCTCACATCAACAAGCCTTTTGATACTTCCTGCATTCTTCTCCCCAGCAGTCACTATCTTTCCTCTCCACAGGTTCACCCTACAGCCTTAAATTTCTCAAGAGGTTAAGGACACCGCAAGTATGACTACATTCTATTAATGTACTGTCTTACACCTGTCAAAAATTTAAATCTTTGGTATGTTCACTGTAAATGTTTAGTCTGTCTGATTGCTGTATTTTGTACATCATAAACTTTACTATTGCTATGTAAAATAGTATTTTCAAATGCTGACATGCATGTTTCATGTTCTTTGGAATACCTGTAATATTTGCTGGGGCCCACATCAAACTTCCAACAGCAACCTGCATCAGCTATCGCACTACTAGTAGGTATCACAAAGTGATAATTCTAAGCACTTAAGTTCAGATACTTCTATTTTCTTTAAAAAAACCCCCAGCAGCAAGATAGGATATTTTACTCTCACAGTCTGGACAGTAGCATAGCATTCTCTTCAGCAAAAGCCTGACAAGCCCATCTCTGAAATGAGTTAAGTAAAATACTAAATGGAAAGATGTAACGGCAAAAGCGCCCTGCACTTAAGCTTCGCTCCTTCATCATTTCAGTCATCCAAAGCTTTGCCAAAGACTTCAGTGATGCTGAGCTGAACGTGGGGTTTCACATCAGCACCATTGCAGCAGTCACTAGAACACACTGTGCCACATTCAGAGCAGCCCTGCTAATACTTCTCTCTCAAAGAAAACTGCATGGCATGATTTCAGGACCGTTTCCTAGCATAATCCATTACAGTCTCCACAGCAGCATTTTTCTCTTTCAGTGCTATTCGCACTACCATTTTATGTAGAGTTTCCTGTTGCAGGTCTGTAGTCTCTCATCAGCACCTTATCCTTAGCAGAAAAAGGCATCTGGCCAGACTCTTAATAGACCAGAAACCTCAACATATGCAAGACTAAGGATCTGGGCTTTTTTTCTCCCTTTGTTACTTTACAGTCCTTTAAGGTCATTATTATCCAATGCAGTGGAGACAAAACCACAGAATGCAAAGGAATTAAACCTGTACTGAACAAAAACAAAAAAGAAAGCATTTTCATAGTCAGGCTCATTCTGATGCAAGTTGCACTGCTTTTCTACCATGCTATTGCACCCACCTACAACCAGTCTTTCAACTACGGAAGAAAACGATCAGCAGCTAGCAACTTCTCCTTTACAACCATGGCGCTTCTAGCACAGTACCCTGCAGTGTGCAATCTGTGAATGCACAATTATCCCACAAGTGGCTCATTCTACCTTCTGGGAGGCCAAACACACTAGCTTACTGCTGTTCTTATTTATGTCATTGCTGTGCTTCCTTTTTCATGCAGTAATTTACGGTGGCAGTAGGATGATACAACTCATAAGCACAGTAAGCATTACCCAAAATGGAGAAAACCTCGAGCTGTCTTTTGAACCATACATCAGAAAGGATAAAAAAAAAAAAAAATAAAAAAAAAAAACAGGATTTAGGAAAGTCATCATCTTTCACTAATGAAAATAATATGGCTTCTTGTTGCAAGAAGTACAGGAAAAATTGTAAAATAGAAATCTCGCCTGGCTGCTAGAAAAGCATGAGGATGGTCTCCTACCGACTGCAGAGGGGAAAGCTCCATCCTTGCTAAGCACACACAGTACACCAGTCATTTTCTTTTCTTTTTGGACACTTAAGGCTTACTATGCAGAAGGGTGAGAGCCATCAATGATCTATTCACACCTGCCCAAATCTCATAACCTCTACATTTGACAAGTGAAGTTTCCAGGAATCAGTACTGCGGATGATGACACTGCTGCTGAAAGGAGCAAGAACTGCAACACGCATATAGAAAAATTCTGTTATTTTATAGCTTTAAGTGATAATTTTAATCTGCTGCTAAAAGAAGCAGCATTAGAGTTCTTAGCTGCAGATTTTGGAAGACAGACCTTTCTCTGGTTAAAGTATCTTCCAGAATAGGAAGGTCAAACACAGTTTATTTTAAATTCTCCAGCAGCAGAGCTTTTGAAGTGACAGTTAATAGTTCTGAAAAGCACTTGGATCAAACAGCAGTCTTAACCCACAGGGTATGACTTGTCATCAAGCCTGTCTTGAGGATGTTAATTTCAGCTGCCGTTTACAACTGGCGGCATAAAACAAGAAAAAAGGTCCTGTTTGCTTATCCACCTATAATCCCTCCCCCTCCTAGCTCCGTGGCAGTGAATGCAGCTTCTGGAAACGCTGTCAAATTCCAACAGCTATCCTTCGTCTAACGCAGCGACTCTTCCTAACCACTTTTAAAACCAAGTACCTGTCTTTTCTGTTCCTTACAACACCTGTTCTGAATGCTCTCCATTACCAGCACGTCACTCCAGTCTCCTCCCATGCGGTGTTGTGGAGTTCTGAGCAGAGGTAAAGGAAACCTTTACGCATTTTAATAATCCTGACTTGGTCAGGGTAGGCACGGGCTGGCAGGCGAGCCCTGACAGATCTGACGCAGGCCTTGCTGCTAGCTTTCCGCTCCCCGCGGGGAACAGCGGAACGTCTACGCTAACGGCCCACACCGAACCGCAGTGGCACGGGCACGCAGCCGGGCCCCGGCGGTTCGGCCCCGCAGCCCGGGGGGCCTCCGGGCGCGGCCGGCAGCCGGCAGAGCAGCACCCGAGGGGCAGCAGCGGAGCTGTCAGAGGAACGCGGCTCAGCGGGCCGCGGAGGCGAGAGAAGGGCCGTTCGTCTCGGCCACCGGCGAGCTGAGGGGCGTCCGCGGTCCGCGGCCCGGAGCCCGCCGGCGGGCTCGGGCCGGCCTTCCAACGCGGCTCCCAGCACCCGCGCTTGCTCCAGCGCTTCTGCCCGCGGCGAAGCGGGCCCCGGCGGGGTCCCTCCGCCTTCTGGCGTCCCCGGCAGAAGGGCGCCGGCGGCCCGGGGTCCGGGGCTCGGGCACCTCTTTGTCTGTCGCCCGCGACCAGGCGCTCGGGTGAAGGCGCGCTGCCCCCCCCGGCCGCGATCCCG